AAAATTTGACGGTGTAGTATTGAATTTCTTTTGAAGTGGGTAGTCTCTCTAATATTTAGAATGCAAATTTATTTCAAAAAGAAAAAATAGCAAATTAATTAATAGAAAAAATAATACAGGAGGAGGAAAGGAAACGCAGTTGGCGATAATTCCATCTGAAGGGTAAGGTTAAAATCTGGAGGGTCGCTTAGAACTACTAAACGAGTGTATGACTTAATAATAAATACAAAATGATAGAGGGCATTCTCGCAATAAGCAAACTAATAAGCTCCTCAGTACCCTATAGCAGCCTAGATTTACATACACTAGGCATAGATAGGTATATCTATAAACCCAGGTAAAAAAAACAGATTGGTCGTCGTTGTCAACCCCATGAAGGATTTTTTTCTCTCTCTCTCTCCCCTGCCATGGACAGTGACTAATGATGGGGTTGAAGGCTCAGAAACTCTGAATCTATCAGAAGGGGAGGAGGGCCTAATAAAGAGCGAGATGTAGTGGTATACCAGTACTAATCAGCAGTGAGGACACTTGTAATTGATGAAAAAAGCGAGTGTGACGTTCCCAAGAAAAAGCGAGTGTGTATAGCCTTTAGATATAGAGAGAGAAAACTAGAGAGCTGTATAGCCTGCATTGTTGCAGGTTTCGTTGCAGAGCTTGAAAGACTGTGTTTTAACTTTATCTTCTGAAATACTAGTATTTCTCTCTCTCTAAAATCTATAATGACCAAGAAGATAGGATAGATACACTCTCTCCCATACTGGGTGGTAAGGAGTCACTCAATGCTCACTGGTATTTAGCGGGTTTCTGCCAGAATGATGTGATTGAACAAGCAGGCTCTTGGGTACATCGTAAAAATATCCCATTTTTGTATGAACTTTCTTGTAAATATTCTCTCTTGTTCTTCCACTCCGTTGTCTGAGAATTTTCGCAATTCGATTGCGTCGTCGTTCGATGTCGGTGACCCACCTGGCTTTCGTGTTCTGCTTGTTCCTCGGAGTACGGTGACGGGTTGTTTCAAAGCATTTCCAGAATCAAATCTCTTCTAACTTGCCTGCATTTTTATGTAGTAGTGACCCGATTGTTCTTCCAAATCAGTAATGGCGTTTTGGTTTGACCTCCATCGAAGTCATTCTCTGCAAGTTCTGGTTTTTCTGGTGTTTCTCGTCTGTTTGAGCTTTGGTATCGTGGATTCAGAAGACGGTGAGTTTACGTGTCAAACCTTTTTGAGTTCACCCTTCTTTCTTTAATCCCGTTTTAATATTTTAATCAGTGTTTTTTAAACGTTCAAAAAAATATTGCTAAACTGTTTTGAGTTTCAACCTTATTCAATCACACTTACTATTTTAATCAGTGTTTTTTAAATGTTCAAGAAGATCAATACTGATTACCGATGCTTCTAAATTCCTTCTCTTTTAAAAAAAGTAGACTTTGGTAATAACGTCATTGCCGTTCAGTGTTAAACTCTGTTTTGTATCTATATTATTTAAAAAAGTTCATTGATTTTAAGCTTTTCTGTCGAGTTCTTCATGAGCTCATATACCATTCAAAGTTGTACTGGCAGCTCTTGATAGTAAGCCTTCCACCGGTTTGAGAGTTCATCATAACTCCCACTCTTCTCTGTCTGGGTGTGAGTTTTACATAAATGTATAATTATGTGTGTACATATATGGAGGAAATACTATATTCTGATTTTTCTTGTTGGGTTAAATCTTCGCTCTCTCTCTCTCTATCTCTCTCTCTCTCTCTCTCTCTCTCTCTCTGGGTGTGAGTTTTATGCAAAGGTTTAATTTTGTTAGTATATGTATTTGGAGTAAGTACTGTGTTTTGAATTTTATTGTTGGTTTAAAAAAGGGGCAACACTGTTGGAGATCAAGAAGTCATTCAGGGATGTGGACAATGTGTTGTATGACTGGACAGATTCACCATCTTCAGACTATTGTGTGTGGCGAGGGGTAATGTGTGACAATGTCACCTTCAATGTTATTGCACTGTGAGTCTTTCTCTGCAACTATTCCTCCGTTACCATACTTTTTCTATCTCTGTATATGCCTTATTAAATAAAGTACTTTTAACTGTGTCATAGTCTAATGTCTACTATTTTTGCTAATTTAGTTGTTTCTTGTCTTTTGGAATGCATTTTCCTTGATGGTCAAAGCTTGACTATTATTTACCCAAACAAAAATTCTTAACTTTTTATGGGTTGTTGGAAAACCTGCAGTAATCTCTCTGGATTGAATCTTGATGGGGAAATTTCACCTTCAATGGGTGACCTGAAAAGCCTACTCTCCGTGTACGGTGCTAGACTATCAACCTTTTGTACCATTGTTTGTGGGTCTTTTTCATTTGGGACTTCTTGTGCTTGGTTAATTCGTCATTTTTCTGCATGGATTGTTACACATCTGAAATGCAAGACTGTTTTGTTTTTGCTTTTTGATTGAACAGTGATTTAAGGGGAAATTGCCTTTCTGGACAGATCCCAGATGAGATTGGGGATTGCTCGGCTTTGAAAAGCTTGTAAGTTGTTTAATTCGGTCAAATGACAGGGTATGTCACTACTACACATTTCCATCAAACTGATCAAAGTACCAAGGTTTTAAGGCAGAGCAATGTCAAGGAAAATAGCTAAAAATAAATCTAAGCTACTTTGTTTATTGGGATTGAGTTAATTACAGCTACTGATCATGGTAGTAAAATAAAATAACAACTGATAAAATTTTGACATGTTGCTTGATGATTAGATAAGAAAAAGAAGATATGCTACATAGTCTTCAACTCAAGTTTTAATTGTGTTATTATCTAGTGATAAAATAATATCGTTTAGGTTGTCTCTTAACTCTAATTGTGTTGTTGTCAGGGACTTGTCATTCAACGCGTTGAATGGAGACATACCATTTTCAATTTCAAAGTTGAAGCAACTAGAATACCTGTAAGTTCACCCACCAAGAACATCCCATTGTCGTTCTCTTTTCAGACTTTATATCATTTGGTCTTCTAGTCCTTCATTCGACTAGTATTGGCTCCTCTGATGATTACATTTCAACGGGTGTTCAGGATATTGAAAAATAATCAGTTGATTGGTCTCATTCCTTCAACCTTGTCTCAGATTCCAAACTTGAAGATTTTGTAAGTGTCATTGCTCTATTCTTTTTTATTGTTGTTTTGAGTCTAATTTTAGAATCATTGATTGCACAGTACGGATATAGTAATAATATATTTTTTGGAATCATGATTTAATTAGGAACTTTCTGTCTTAGACTGGAATAACAATTATTACCATTCCAGTTCACATTTACTTTTCTTATCAATTTTAGGTCTCCCCTATTATATCTAGGATAAGAGGCCATAATATTCCCAGAGTTTCTATGTGTTGTCCTTTCTAGGCTTTTACTGTATCTCTGAGGTTTTTTTTTCTTATCATTATGTAATGAATTCAGTTTGGTATTTTGGTACGATGGCAAATGATGGTATCAACATGGTAGGCACTACTGGCATCTCTTTGTGCTCAAAGGCAATGTAGCAACGAGTGACTAAAATGCCTCAAACAAACTACATACTGTTAGAATTGATCAACAACGATAAAGAGAGTAGAGAAGAGAAAGAGAAAATATAATTAGACTAAAAGTTGGTATGTAATATACTCAAAGTAAGTCTTATATAGTAGGTAACACAACATAAAAAAAATGCCTAAACTACCCTTAATATTAATACTCTCAAATTCAAGATGTGGTGAAAAACATCAAGAGTTTGTCAAGAAGAAATTGAAAACATGCTATGGTGTGAGACTTCGTAAAGAAATCCACTATTTGCATGGTGGAAGGAAGAAAGAGGAGAGTGATGGTGCCCTGTTGAAGATGATGGCGTATAAAGCGATAAGTAATATTGATGTGCTTTGTGCGCTCATGGAAGACCAAGTTGTGAGCAATCTGAATAGCACTGGTATTGTTGCAGAATATAGGTAGGGGTGATAATCAAGCCTAGCTCGACAAGCATCACCATGCTCAAGCTCGGCTTAACATTTTGGAAAGTTGTTCAAGCTCGGCTTGAGCTCGAATATCAAGCTTTATTTTTGGCTCGAGCTCAGCTTGAATGAAAAATGAAAAGCTCCAGCTTGGCTTGATTAAGCTCGTTTTCTGTTAGCAAGCTCGAATCTGAGCTCAAACTCGTATGAAGCTTGATCCAAAAATTCGAATTCAAGCTCGAGCTCGGCTCGTTTATAAACAAGCCTAAAATTATGTTCATATTTGGCTTGTTTATAATATTCGAACGAGTTTGAACGAGCCCAAAACGAGCCGAACTCAAGTCAAACTCGAGTAGCTCAGTTCGATTAATATCCTTAAATATAGGAGTAAGAGAAGATATCGAAATGCCAAGATTAGTAAGGAACCATCATAATCAGACTATCTCAACTGTAGAAGATGTCATAGCACGATACTCAGTTTCAACAGAAGAATGAACAATAGTTTGTTTCTTACTTTTTTGAGAAATAAGAGAATCTTTAAGAAAAAGACAGAAATTAGTGATGGACTTGCGATCCATAAAGTCACCAACTCAGTTAGTATCAGAGTATGCCTTGAGTTCTATAGATGAAGGGTGAGAAAAAGGTAAAATTTGATGTAGAGTACCATAGAGATACCAAAGAATATGAAGAATAGAAGCTCAATGAACGGAGATGGGTGAGGCAACAAATTGACTCACAATATGAACAACATAAGAGATATCCGGACGAGTGATTGTAAGATATACTGAACTTTCAACAATAGTGCAATAGAGTTGGGTTGGACAAGGGAGTACCATTAGACGAGGAGTAGCGAACATTGAGCTCCAAAGGTGTTTTATTTGTTTGATTATCTAATAAGCGAGTTTGTTGAATAATGTCAAAGGCATACTTGAATTGAGAGAGAAGATAGTCTTTAGGAGAGGAGGTAATTTCAATGCTCAAGAAATACCTAAGCTATCTCAAATCCTTCATCTCAAAATGATCTTGCCTCTGAGTTTTCAACAAGCGTATACTAGTAGTGTCGTCACCCGTAATAATTATATCATTAACATATAGCAAAAGAATAATAGAACTTGAGGAAGTAGACTATAAAAAGATAGTAGAATCATGATCATTGACACGAAAACTCAAGTCACACATAATAAAAGAAAATTTGGCAGACCATATCCTAGGGGTTTATTTAATGCCATATAAAGTACAGTGAACTTGACATACTTGACCAAGACTATAAGACAGTCTAGGAGGAGGTGTCATTAAAAACTCTTCACTTAAATCTCCATGAAAAAATGCATTTTTCATGTCCATTTGAGAAAAATTCCATTGGCGAATGGCAGCAACTGCAACCACGGTACGAATAGTAGTCATCTTTGCAACAGGGCAGAGATCTCATCATAGTTCAAACCATACTCCTGAGCAAAATCCTTGACTACTTATCGAGCTTTATATTGTTTCACAGAACCATTATATTTGGTTTTTCTCTAATAAACTTACTTGCAACCAATGGTGCATTTACCAGGTGATATAGACACAACACTAGCTCCCAATCTATGGTCTTATGTAAGGCAGACAATTCCTTATCAATAGTCTGTCTCTAAAGTGGATCAAGTAAAGCCTTCCAGTAGGAGGTAGATTTAGATAGAGAATGAATAGAAGGAAAAAACAAAAGTCATGAGAATAACAATTATTACTCCAGCCAAACTTGTCTAAATATTTGCAAGAGCGCTGAGGATAATGCAAGGTATGATCCACAATGTTTAAACCTGATCGAGTGTGGCAAGGGGAGAAAGGGGAGGCATTGAATCCGTAGAAGAGATAGTTGGAGTCTTGCAAATATATGTATGCACAATAAGGGGATAAGGGATAGTCAACTCAAAAGTTGAAGTATCTGATACTGGTAAATCACTAACAAATGTGTCATGAGGAACATCAGTAGGAAAGGGATCAATGTATAGCAGGTTAGATTTATTCAGTGGAGAAGAACTAGATGGAATTGAAAAGAAGGGAATATGCTCCATAAAGACAACATGATGAGAGAGAATTTGTGGGTAATGGAATTACAATAATGATACTCTTTTTGACCCTTACCCTAACCAAAAAAGAAACATAAAGCTGAACAAGCAAAAAGTTTGGTACGAAAAATATTAGGGAGCAAAACAAAGCACGTACAACCAAACAAACGTAAAAAAAAAAATTTAGGCGGCTTACCACACAATTTTTCAAACGGGGAAACTCCTGATGTGAGAATAACAGGAATGTTGTTGATCAAATGAATTGTTGTAAGACCTGTTTCCTCCCAAAAATGAGTTAGGAACATATGCTAATAATAGAAGAGAACGTGTTGTCTGTTCCCTCGGCCTATGTTTTCTCTGAAAGTGCGGTATGTTAGATTAGTGCTCAACTCAGTGGGTTCAATAAGTGCTAGTTGATTGCAAATTCCAATCATAACTGAGTAGAATTCTTCTTTGTTTTTGTCCCCTTGACGTGCATCTTGAATCTCATACTCTAGTTGATACTTCTTTGCAAAATTAGATTGGACAACCCAAACACCACAACCAAAGCCACCAAATAATAAGAAGTCAAACACCACTTTTGAAGCCACTATAATAACACCATTGCTAAAGCACCCCAACAAAGTAGCCAAAGATCAAAGCAATCCACACAATGCACAAAGAAATTCCAAATACGAAGAAGACAACCCACAATAGTAGACGCCTACATTGGAAACCAATGGCGTCAAAAACCAGTGGCGATGGGGATATTGAAACCCTCGAATGGCCAAAATCAAGCCAAAAAATTCAGTCATGTAGGTATTTATAGTTTTGCGTATTATTCTAGGGATGAGTAGGTTGGATATTAATTGATGAGACGACAAGGGGAGTTCAAGCTACCATAGTAAATTCAAGTTAAAATTTTGTCATAATGGTTTTCACGGCACTAAAGAGTACAATGTGGATGCAACTTCGTGTCAAATCACAGCAGGTGCGGATATTCGGAAGAAGTATCAATGACTTTTTGACTTTGAACCCTTAAGATTTGTGCCACAAAGATTTATTTCAAGTACTTCCATGGGCAGAGAGAAGCATGAATAATAGGCCAATGGAAGTGAATCGAAGCTGACAAGAAAGCATAGCGGGTAGTTGAGACCTCACGAAGATAGCAATTATTTCAAGTCCTTGTTTAGCTGCTATATCCTTCTAAGTGACATTTGTAGTAGAAAAAGTGGGCATGCAACAAAGCCCAACAATAGAGTGAATCCAAAATTGCAAATGATGCAACAATTAGTGCAACAGATTATCTCAAGAAAGTAGAGCCACGGTATTAGGGAAGAGGAGTCCAATATATGTTAAACCAAGGGGCACTCTGGGGTCCTACCATTGAAAGGTACTGGCTTCAGCATATGGTGGAAGAGGTTATTGAGGGATGGGCAGCTGTATGTGCAAGTAAAGCTTTCATTGAGGGGATGGAATCAACTCAATAGAATTAGGTATTTTATATGACTTCTAAAGTGACCAAACGAAGTTAAAGATTGATTCAATACCGAATCCCAGATCCCTATAGACAACTAATGCTAGGAAGAATTTACCACCACATCCAAGTAATTTATATAAATTAGTGCTGGATGCGATTGATGTTTAATATAAAGTGGATGTGGATTGATGTTTAATATGAAGTGGATGTGGATAAATACCTGTATCCCAGTTTATTTAATAGGAACCCAAAGGGCGAGTTTTTCAAAAGGGGATGATATAGAACAGATTCAAAAGTTGGTTTGTTTTTATTTTTTTGGAATTTGAATTTAATTTGGAGCTATCAATTAGTATTCCTATTTCATGTCATTTTCTGTTTTCCTATTGTTTATGTCTCTTTTATTTTAAATTAGGCTTTTAGCCACAAGGCAAAGTTATCATTCTAGTCAATAATGTCACCATAGTTTTTCTCATTTATTATTCTTAGTGGATTCTAGGGTTTTGACTATTCAAAATACTTCTATCCAGGGACCTGGCACAGAATAAGCTGAGCGGGGAAATTCCAAGGCTCATATATTGGAACGAAGTTTTGCAATATCTGTAAGTGTATTAGTAGTTGATGTATCGAACTGCCTTGTCCTGGTGGCTTGGTGATTCATGAATTATGAACCCATTTTGTTTATCTACTCAACTTAGGGGATTGCGAGGGAACAACTTAGTTGGTACACTCTCTCCTGATATGTGTCAGCTAACAGGGTTGTGGTATTTGTAAGTTCTTGATCACTAGTTTAATTTTAATTCTCCTTTTCTATTTTCTGTTATAACAGGCCAATTGCTGATACCTACTAGTTTTCCTCTTTTTACAGTGATGTTAGAAACAATAGTTTGACTGGTACCATTCCTGAGAACATAGGCAATTGCACTGCCTTCCAGGTCTTGTATGTACCTCCACTAACATATTGTGGCCAACTTCTGGATGATACTTTTTGTGGTTAATTAGAATATCCTTATATATTTTGCTGATAGGGATTTGTCTTACAATAAACTGACTGGAGAGATTCCATTCAATATTGGGTTCTTGCAAGTAGCTACGTTGTAAGTATAAGCAATTCACTTGGGTATCTTGAGTTTGTGTTTGTCTTTAAATGGGAATGAATTTCTGGTGCATGCTAGATCTTTGCAAGGAAATCAGCTTTCAGGGCAGATCCCATCAGTCATTGGCTTGATGCAGGCACTCGCAGTGTTGTAAGTGCTTTACTATTCTTGTCATCTCAACTTAATGTCGCAACAGCATGGAATTCCTTTGACTTCTTTCGTTTAGATTTTCTTCTTACCCTACATGTGTCGCTATTTCTGTTGTCTTCAGAGATTTAAGCTGCAATACGTTGAGTGGACTGATCCCTCCCATCCTTGGAAATTTGACTTACACAGAGAAATTGTAAGCACAGCATCTGTGTTTTTGTCAATTTGTTGTATTTTACTCATAGGTTTTGTGTCTTCAAAAGTTATAAAGAACAGATAGCAGTAGGCTTTCTATTTAATGAATGTCCTTTGCCATCTCGCGTCCTGCAATTTTCATGTTTGTTATTAGTAGTTAAATATATAAGTCAAGGTATTGTCAAGTTAATTGAGCACTTAGTGTACAACTCTATTTATTTAAGACATCCACCTGTATGTCAAGTTTAATATTTTGACAGGATTTCTTTATGACAGGTATCTGCATGGAAACAAGCTGACTGGATCCATTCCCCCAGAGCTTGGGAATATGACAAAGCTCCACTATCTGTATGACACATTTTGTTGGCTATTTTCAAACCTCTTGTTATTTGGTGCTCTTGATTTTTCTTGTTAAAGATTTTCCAAACTGAAGCGGATGCATTTGGATGGTTTTCAAGTCAGGAGATACCTCATATTGATGTTATTAGTTGATTATGTGATATACACATGATATACATATAGTCATCAGAACTGCCTGCTATTGCACACTTTTTTCAGGCATTATATATCATAACCCAATAATATATTCAACCCCCCCCCCCTTCTTCTACTAAAAAGAATCTGTACTTTTGCACTGTTGAACTGGTTCATTAGGAGCACATCGCATGTCAGCAGCGTTGTAATAACTAAGAGTGCTACTTGATGTTTGCTAGTCATGCATATTCAGAAATATTCGCTATTCAATTGTTTCATTTTTGCCTTTGCAGGGAACTGAACGACAATCGACTCACTGGGCATATCCCTCCCGAACTTGGGAGGCTTACGGACTTGTTTGACCTGTATGTCCTGTTTCCCTAAAAGTGTTAATTGAGCTGGGGTCTGCTTTTCTTTATAAAGTTACTTACACTAAACGCTTGCAGAAATGTTGCTAACAACAACCTTGATGGGCATATACCTGATAATCTTAGCTCATGCACAAATCTCAACAGCCTGTAAGCATTCCACATCAATCTCCTGTTATGTTCCTTTTTACCTTTATTTTTAAAAATATTGTGTCTGTTGAGGATGGTCATTGACCCATAATTTGATGGCAGCAATGTGCACGGGAACAAATTGAATGGGACCATCCCTCCTGCATTTCAGAGACTGGAAAGTATGACTTATTTGTGAGTTCCACTCTTCAACTAAAGACTTATTTTGAAGATTTTCATGCAGTTTTGGTAGTACTAAATAATTATTTTTTTTAACCGACCTGCCAAATGGTTCAAATGGCACTGCATGTTTTTCTATTGGTTATGAGGATGGAAGATGCACCATTCATGTTGCCTAGATTCGTATTTGCTTCTGCCATTTGTCTTACAATTCTTCATTGGCTCATTGCAATGTCATCCAATCCGTCTATGATATTTGTTTACATTTTATCAGTCACAATTCTCGAGTGATTTGAGTGCTTGATGGCTTTGCTTATGCTTTTCCTCATCATCTCTAGGAATCTATCCTCTAACAATCTTATGGGTTCCATTCCAATTGAGCTGTCCCGTATTGGTAATTTGGATACTTTGTAAGTAGTAAATTGCTTTTTGTTGACTGTAATACTTCTACTACTTTTTAGTTCTTGAAATATGACTTGTATTTTTGGCCTGTTTTGGTGAATCAGAGACCTCTCAAGTAATAGGATTAGTGGTTCCATACCTTCTTCCCTTGGTGACTTGGAACACCTGCTAAAACTGTGAGTTTCACCATTTGGTGATTCCTGTTCAATAGAGTTTTCATCATATAGCTCACTTCCTTTCTTTTATGTGGTAGGAATTTAAGCAAGAATGAGTTGACTGGTTTTATACCAGCCGAGTTTGGTAATCTAAGAAGTGTCATGGAAATGTGAGGAAGTATTTAAATGCACGATTCTGTTTACTATTACGAGTTTTATTTTTCAGCTTCCAAGCTTGTGAATAATGCTTTTTCATTTCAGAGATCTGTCAAATAACAACATTTCTGGTCCAATACCACAAGAGCTTGGTCAGCTTCAAAATGTTTTATTGTTGTAAGTCTATTTAAGCTTAACATTAAGAATAATTCCTTTATTGTTTATTCTTTCTATTATAATCTCTTGATCAAAATAATAATTGCAGGAAAGTGGAGAACAACAATTTATCAGGAGATGTAATGTCTCTGGTCAATTGCCTCAGTCTTACGGTCCTGTAAGTTTGCAATGTAGTTAACATATTAACATGTAATAAAGTAAGACAACTAGAATTGATTGTGAAATCAAATTGTTTTTTGCAGAAATGTATCTTATAATAACCTGGTTGGGGATATTCCTACGGGCAAAAACTTCTCGAGGTTTTCACCAGATAGGTTAGATGATTCCCAAATAATTTGCCACTTGAGGATTTTCTCTTGTAATATCACAACCAAGCTGCACTCAACAATATCATCTGACTGAGTATTCCTATCTGGGCCTATTCCAACTAAACCTTTTTGTTCACAGCTTCATTGGAAATCCAGGTCTGTGTGGCTACTGGCTCAGTTCTCCATGCCATGCATCTCATCCAACTGAGCGAGGTACGAATTCCGAGCATGGTAGTTCTTTACTTCTTTTTTCATTGTTAGGTAGAAAACAAGCAGGCACAATTTTTCATGACTTTGTTTTTTAACAGAAGATGATGAGAGTGGAAGAGCTTATGTCTTAGAACTAGGGCTGGATATGACTTGCTATCTTGTCAGTCATCTATTGATTCTATAGACGTGTCTCAAAACCCATACTACTTGATCTAGTATAATGATATTATCTTTCGCCTCTCAAATTTCAATCATACAAATAAGCTATAGACTAGAAATCCTTTCGATTGTGAAGCTAATAAAAAGTCTCTGTAGGTTGAGTATGCACTCTTTTCTTTGCAGAATCTAACCATTGGCAATTTCCGGTGCATTTTGGCAGGAAATTTTTTATTATTCTGCTCTAATGTAGCAAGAGAAAAACTTAAATATGTAATGAATGACAGACATGAAGAGAAATTTCTATTCCTGACCAATAGTCATAGTCAGTCATTCTGTAGTTTTAGTGATAGCCTGCAGAAGATAGATTCTATTTCATACTTGATTATGAGCATGTTTGTAGGACATAAAATATGGGAAGAAGATAAGATCGCTTTAACAAATGACAAATGGTTTTATTACATTATATTTGCTGGAGAATTTTATCGTCTCCTTCATTGACAGAAAAACAATATAGTTTATTGTTTACGAATGAAAATTTTTCTTTGATGGTTGAAGGCAATTGCTCGGTCTGAAATGTGCTAATTCTTGTGCATCTCCCTTCTCTCTATTTTGCTGTGTGTGCAGTCACAATTTCTAAAGCAGCTATACTTGGGATTGCTCTGGGTGCCCTGATCATTCTTCTTATGATCTTAGTTGCAGCATGCAGGCCACATAAGCCACCATCTTTTATGGAAGGATCAATAGACAAACCAGGTTTTTTTTTTTTTTGGTGTATTTAACATTATTTGTGTTGAAAATGAGGTTTCATATGTTATTTCCACATACTTGATCTATGATTGAAGTTCCATGAAGTTGGTTCAATGCAGAAATGTCAGATATGTTAGCTTTAGGTCAACTCAAGGTTATCTGCTTTGAATCTCTAATTTGTAGATGACCTTCTTACCTGTGATAAATCCTCTAATTGGAAGTCCTTCTTTCCCTTTGCTCTTGTGTGCTTGTGAAGAACAGTTAATTATACATCACCAAAGCTCGTGATCTTGCACATGAACATGGCACTTCATGTGTATGAAGACATTATGAGGATGACTGAGAACTTGAGCGAAAAGTATATAATCGGTTATGGTGCATCAAGTACAGTGTATAAATGTGTTCTTAAGAATTGCAGGCCTGTGGCTATTAAGAAGCTGTACTCTCACTACCCCCAATGCCTAAAGGAATTTGAGACAGAGCTTGAGACAGTCGGTAGCATCAAGCATCGTAACCTTGTCAGCCTCCAAGGATATTCTCTCTCCCCATCAGGGAATCTTCTCTTTTATGACTACATGGAAAATGGTAGCCTCTGGGATCTCCTTCATGGTGAGTGTTCCTAGATGTTTATGATATCAAACTCGTTTGTTATGCACATCGCGAACAATACAAGGAAATTGTATTTTTTTTTTTAATTGCTCTTGATTTTATCTCCACACACCATGAAGTAGGAGCCTATTTAGCTTTGCAAAAGCTAAGAAATGAATAAGGTGGAACAAGTGAGAGCGTCTCATGTGAACTGACTAATGTCCTTTTTTTTCTATGACAGATAATATTATCACCATAGAAGACGTTATGAAAAGTAGCTATAACAACTCAATCTTTGAATTTTCTGACACATCAATCCTTTGTGGTCCTTTAGCCTTGTACTGCAGAGATTTGAACTTAACAACTACTACTGATTTTCATAATCAAACTTACCTTTTTGAATGAATAGTAGCTCGGTGCCTTGTGATTAACTTTGTTACATGCATGATGCATGGCAATATGTTCTGGCTTCCTACATCATTCTTACATAATGTGTGCCTTTTAGGTCCTACAAAAAGGAAAAAGCTTGAGTGGGACACCCGTCTTTGTATAGCACTGGGAACAGCCCAAGGGCTTGCATATCTTCATCACGATTGCAGCCCCCGCATTATCCATAGGGATGTCAAGTCATCAAACATTCTATTGGACAAAGATTTTGAGGCCCACCTCACTGACTTTGGCATTGCAAAGAGTTTATGCATATCAAAGTCTCATACTTCTACCTTCATAATGGGTACCATTGGTTATATAGATCCTGAGTATGCCCGTACTTCCCGGCTCACTGAAAAGTCTGATGTCTACAGCTATGGGATTGTTCTACTCGAATTGCTGACCGGAAGAAAAGCAGTCGATAATGAATGCAACCTCCATCATCTGGTTAGTCCTCTAGCCTTTTACAAACACCAATTTATTATGGATAAGCAAAAGAAAGGAAGTCAATTCTATCTGAAAATATTATTGTTACTGCAATAGATAAGAACATGAGTAAGATAATTATCTGATGTATTTAATTATCTTATTTCCTTACTGGTCATGTTTATGTTTTGTCTAGGAACTTCTAAATTGCATCTATAAATTTGAATTTAAATTACTTGTTGAAAATAGATGTTGTATGTGCTTGAAATTGTATCAATTCCACAGCTTCATTGTGTCTCCTGGTTTAGTTGTGTGCTTTTGTAGGTGACCTATTTTCATGTCTAGCCCACTTAATGCTTCGTTAGCCACAAAGCATTGTAGATTTTGGTTCTGATGCTTTTAAATAGTACAGTTGAGAATTTCAAAATGGACCTAAAATGATGAGACTAGAAACTTCTTGAATACTAAAGAAATGGGATTTTAGAGGATCAATCCTGAATATCTTGAACTTGAAGCTAGAAGTTTAATTTTCTGAATTTTAGTACAATTTGAATTATGCTAGGTGGCTGGTTTGCAAAGCTGATATTTTGCTCACTTGTAAACTTCTCAAGATGTTTAATAATTGTAGTAAACTTTTTGCAGGGAGAGATGCCTGCCTGTAGTGGGTTATTTTACGAGCTCAATAGCAGCATTTACTTGCCTTGTCATAGAATTCCTACTTCAATTTTATGAACTGTTTGGACTGAATGTAATTTGGTGTTTTAGATAATGCTATTTCATCTCATGATATTCCTCTATCTGTAACAGATCTTGTCCAAGACAGCAAACAACACGGTTATGGAAGCTGTTGATCCTGAAATCTCTGCCACATGTAAGGACCTTGGAGAAGTAAAGAAGGTTTTCCAGCTTGCTCTCCTATGCACCAAGAGGCAGCCATCAGAGCGGCCAACTATGCATGAAGTTACACGTGTCCTCGGAAGCCTTGTGCCGTCACCCATTCCTAAACAATCAATCCCAGTCCCTCCTTCACCACTCCTATCCGCTAAAGTCCCCTCCTATATGGATGAGTATGCAAATCTCAAGACTCCCCATTTGGTGAACTGCTCCTCCATGAGCACCTCAGATGCTCAACTCTTCCTTAAATTTGGAGAGGTAATTTCTCAGAACAGTGAGTAAATGTGGTTTTGAAGTCTCAGAATGTGAAAAGAAAAAAACTTCTCAATATTGTGTGGGGGAAATATCAAGATTTGGAAATTGTGTATAAAGATCTAGTACCAATTATTGTAACCAGGAAGGTGAAAAAGGTGGACAGGCTTTTACTAACAAAATTTCAAGTGTAGTATCCAATTCATGTGACTCTTCTGTACTGTGTATTAAATTATGGTAATAGTCCTGGCATCTGGTTTTGGGACCACTAGTTCTGCATCTGGCATGGCTGCCTGGTAGCTTTGGGGCTCACACTCTGAGGCAAGTGCAGCAAATCATTTTTCCAGCAATAATGCATTGTGGAGCCTAGCTCAGCCATATCAGTACTCTTGTTTGAATGGTTGATTTACCATGGAAAACTGCATTTGTTAAACACATGCTGTTCTAAAGGCTGATGCACCTTGCAGTAAAAGAGCAACTTTATTTGGTATGACACATGATATACTGTAGATAGGGGTGTTAATTGAATTGAGTTTTGTGAGTTTGAGTTTAAGTTAGTCGAGTTTATTTTTTTAGACTAGTTTAAAAAATTATTTTAGTTCAGCTCATGTAAAAAACGTAAAAAAATGAGCAGAGTTTAAATAGTTTAATTATTTTACATAGAAATGAGCTTTTTAGGTTTGTTTTTTTAAATGTATTTCAAAAATTATTCAAGTTCAACTCGTTTAAAATACGAGTTGAGTTTGAATTGTATTTTATTTGAGTTGACCTAGAGTAGCTCGTCTCAATTAATATTCTAATATTTAGTTGTACATGTGTAATCTCGGGAGTGAGATTTTTTTTAATTTTTTTTCTTTTGGTTTTTGGTAAGTTAAGATAAAAATTAAAAGAAAAGGTATTAGTAGCATTGCGGAGCGCAGGAGTCAGTAGTGCTATATCATTAACTAGCCAATGAAGACCATGATAATCGAAGGATTCGGAGAAGATAAGCTGCCGTAGCCTAATCTTTATGTCAGAATAGCTGAAAGTTGGTATCCTATGCTATCCTTGCTAGTACGCAATTTGGGAAAAGGCTCCAACTCCTGTAGCCATTTGCTCTTTTGCTGCCTTGGCATGTATGGCCCTGCTAGAAATAGTTGACACGGTGGAAATTTTTTTTTCCTGAAGGTCTCTTTCTTGACTCACTGTAGCTCTAATACCAAGAAGTCCTTCAGAGGAATCTGTCTCACTGTGAGTGGTAGCGAGCCATTGTATTCAACATTTATAGCGAAAAGTACAAAATACATGTGACCCATTTGATGGGTATGTACATAATAACAAGAAATAGATTATGACAAGAAAATGTGATCAAGAGTTATCACGATATTTGGATTTATCTTAAAAGCCATAGTGGTAGAAGTTTAAATCGGTGCTCTCAACAAGGGCGGAGCCACCTTATGCCTGGGGCCACATGCCCACTCTCAATTTTTTTTTTTTTAAAATTACTTATATATATTTTAAGTATTTTTTTAATATATTAAATTGTGCCCATCATATTTTTTAATCAAGACCGGAAAATACATGATACATCCATGAGTTTATTTATAATTTTAACATTTTTTTAGTAATTATCACTGACATAATAGATAATGTATTTTATTGTGTAATCGAATGAATGATAAATAACTAAGTAATAATGTGATTATGGATATAAATAATAATAAAGTTAATGCAAGACTTTCAACGTATAACAATTCATTGAAATCAATTCTAAATAGTTTTGATTAGCCTTTGTTTGGTAAAAAGATATAATTAGCCTCTCTTTTTTTATTGTGACTTATTTGTATCTACTATGCTTAGCTATTTTAGTCTTTTAAGTTCAATGAACTTTTAAAATTAAATAGGATATAATTAAATATAAATGCATTATTCTATTTATATCAATAAAAAAAAACTAAACTTGTTAAAATATACAGTGCCCACCCTAAAACAATTTTCTGGTTCCGCCTTTGGCTATCAATGTCATAATAAAACCAATAACTGACTTATAGAATTCATACAAGACTTACCTTGAGGCATGTCTTGTATTTTGATAATGATTACTTTCATGATCTAAGTTGCTTTCTTGATCTTGGTTCTTTTGACTAACACCTTGTTTAGTGTAGTGTCTAACCTTCTATGTCAAAAGTTTTCTATGTGATAATATAGTAGAATAGTACATATGTGTGCCTTTGTATTTTCTTTCGTCACTCAACCTTATGTTTTGCCAAGTGATGGTATGCCAAAGCCATTGTTCAAGGTGATGAGCGAAAAAAGGAGACTCTTGAAGCCCTTTATGTAGCTTCATGATTACCTTCCATCAAGGAATTCTATTTATTATTTTACTTCATATCTTCCCCCAATGAACCATGATAATTAGATTCCTAGTGTTGTATCCTTTGAACTAGACATTGAATTTGAGAAGCCAATGAAACTTTGACGATAAATCAAGTCATTCATGTATGTAAATATAGGATATGTACATAGAGTAAATAAGGAATACTAGAGTGCATATACGAAATCAAAAGGTCACCTCTAAAGTTCACAAGGGACACAAAGACTAAGTACATTATGAACATGCATGTTCATGAACCAAGGGAATGTTTAAGAGAAATTGTGTTCATAGAAAAAGGATACTAATATGGCCAATAAAACCACTTATCATTTCTAACATTTTCCCACTTGGCCGAAAGACCACATGATTGCAAACCCTTTTCGGATACAACACAATGGTACCAATACATGTTCTAATTATTTTGCCATTAGTGTTCTAATTATTTTGTCATTAGTGAGGGGCCATTAGTGTTACATTTTTAAATTTTCAAGTTTTGAAAAGAGGTATTGGTACCTCGTGTAAGTGGTACCGACACTTGGGTCTTCTGTTTGTCAGGTACCGGTACCTATAAGCATTGGTGCCAGTACTTTGGCCCACTGTCTGCAAAGTACCAGTACCTAAGGCCAAGATACCGGTACCTGAGCCTATTGGAATCCAGGTATTGGTACCTGTAAGTCTAGGTACTAGTACCTGGATCATCCGCTAGCATCGTACCGATACCTATGAACCTAGGTACCGGTACCTGAGCCTAAATTTTCCTCAATCCTTCCAATCTTCAATCCTTAACCATCCAATTTCGTACAACATTTAACACATTCATTCATTAGATTAAAACAGTGTCCAATGGAGTCCCATTACATGCTCTATTACCAATATACAAGTTCAAAACAAATTTACATATTTGATTTATAAAATGCATTTCGAAAGCCACATTCCCGCTTCGTCATCAACAAGGACCCAAATAAGGGTCACCCACTAGCGCTTGTCTAACACCAAAAATATATTCTCATAAAGCGTGAGTTACGCTCAATAGGATACTTCCTAAGGAGGCTACTCCACAACCCAAATACATATGAAAAGGTCACATGAAATTCATCACATAATCATTCATTCAAGAATATACATTTTATAAATGAATGCTACACCTTTCATGTCATGCCATGATGATGGAACTCAAACATGAAATGCAACCCCGAGCTCTTTGTTGGCTCTCATAACACATGCAATGCAATGCGTATGAGTCCGGGCATTCCAAGACACCCCCGCCATAGATGTTAGACATATAATGACCATTTTATAAAATCTTTGTGTTTTTCTTGGGGTGGGTATTTATGGACTTCAGCCAATGGGTACCCAACCGACATGGTATCTATAGACTTCTCACAATAGCTCTGCATACGTCAACACACTTTATGGACTTAATACCAACGAGAATGCATATCTAAAATTACAGGGTCTAGCACCCAAGGGAGAATCTATCCCTTATTGCTAACCCTGACATATATTTTCAATGTAAGCACCTTAATCAAACCTCATTCCATGTATTAAATGCCCAAGCTTTGAGACATTTATTATCTTTCACTTTCAAGCTCTCATGCATTAAATGCTGTCTCATCAAGGGAAGGGTGCATTAAATACTTGCTTTCCCAAGTCGTGTGTCAGCAAGGATATTTTGGTCTTTTTGTCTCTGATCTGACACAATACGCCACGTGCCCATTCCCTTTTGGTTGAGTCTTCTGCTTTCTTGTGTCTCCTGACACTATTTGAGTAAGACGAGATCATGATGGCTAGTCTAGTCTAACCTAGGCTAGTGATCTGTTCATCTATAGCCCCCTGCAGGAGCAGAAACGCCCCGGCGGATAGATACACCTCGGTGCCGAGGGACTAGCATGATTTAGGACCGATATACCCAAACTGCCGAGGAATACGTGTCGGTCCATGGTGGTTTGGGGATCCTTGATCCCTGTGAATAGCATCCTCAGGGCAGGGGGTTGGAAACCGACGAAGATGTGTCAGAATCAGAGCGAGAGAGTCTTCATTGACGCCGAGTACATGTGTCATCATCTGCGAGTGTCTGAAAATGTCCCATCAACTACCCCCCAGCCTTCGATCTTCTGACGCCGAGGACACGCATTGTAAGGAGATGAAGGGTTCTGCAACTGCCCTAACCACTCCATTATTGCTTCCAGCTGTTTTTCGTTGCTTAGGAGGTCGTACGCATTAAATGCGCCTCTTCGTGCTTCGTGCCCAATGATGGGGATGGGTACTATATAAACGGGTTCTCTTTCTCTTTCCCACACTTTTACCATTTCGACCTCATAGAGCTTTCGCCTGAAACTTCACCGGAGACCCCCTTTGTCATGTCGTCTACCAATCAGTCGTCACCGGAGTTTAGACCAGCAAACCCCCTCTTGCTTCTGAACCTTCTCGAGAAAGGAACCACTCCAAGTCCTTGCATCTTCCTTTGTTTCGCATTCTGGTGAGTCCTTGCATCTTCCTTCTTTCTGTCCTTCTGGGTTTTTGTTTTTCATTCTCCGGTAACCAGAGGTGTTTCTGGTTGTCATCGTTCGACCAACCCTTAGGAAACCCCTCGGGGATCTTCGTAGGAAAACTCTTTTTGCTCCCCCTCTATTTTTTATTTTAATTGGAAATGCCCCGACGTCGCCTTGCTACCGAGGATCCCCAGGCTAGTTCCTCGAGGCCAGGGAAGTGCAGAGTGAGGGGAGACCAGCAGATCGATAGGTTTAGGGCCCGGTATCACATTTCCTGAAACGTAGGTATAAAAGATTACGACCCAATTTTGCATAACAGTAATCTCGGGGCCAAGGATGAGATGCTCTTTTACACCAAAACAATCATAGAGGGTAGAATTAGGTTCCCTCTGCCTCCTCTACTCCTCCAGTTCCTTTTC